TAACTCACTTGATTTCACACCTTTACTTATCCTCTCGCTTAATTCCTGTAATTTCTGTCTATCTAATAAAGGACTTCTTAATCTTTTCTTCCTCGACTCTTTCTCTTCTTTCACTTCATATCCCACCTTCATCTTCCCTTGTCCATCTTCATATCCATTTACATTCCCAGTTCCGATCCCTTTTCCCTTTCCGGTTCCTTTTCTACTTATAACGGACCAAGAACTTAACCAACTTTTTTTACCTTTTGGACTATTCTTCGATCCTACCCCTTTCCTAAACTTATCATCGATTCCAATTCCCATTCTGTAAGAACTGGTTCCTGACGAGCTCTCTGCATTTGACGTAATGTCCATCGTAGATGTTTCGCTCGTAACGGATGATGATGGATCTTTTCTTTGAGACACTTGTTCGATCTGTTTGGAAGATGAAGAGGAGGGATCATCGAACTTGATTGGGAATACCGATGGATCGGTTGGAGGTTGAAGTGAGTTCGAGGGATGGGATGATAAAGTCGAATCTGGGTCTTTTAAAGTTTGACGGGATGTTCTATTCCTTAATGAGTATGTGGGTCCTGGGGACATTGTGATGAATGAGGTAAGATAGAGGAATGCAGTAAGGGAGTAGGAAGAAAGAGGTGTACGAGTAAAGGTTGTCGATGACGTTTTTTCACAGTGACATGTGCATGTGGCAGTGTGGCATCTCTACTGCATCTCTATAAATCTACTCTACAAATACCGTATATCCTCTACCTCTCCAGCCTACCAATAATCACCCAGATGGGTGTATAGGAATAAGATAACATGGTAAACAAACGTTCAAATATCAAAGATGCAATGAAGATGAATTGAAATTGAGGTTGGAAAAGAGACGACCCATCCTACATTTGAGAAGATGATGGAAAAACACATAAAACCCCCTACAAAGGTCTAGCTTTCACACCTAAACAAACAATAGTCAAAGCTACACCAGCTAAAACAACGATACCAAAAACACCTTCTATACTTTCTAAATAAGCTTGACGAGCTTGTATAGCCGTCCATTCGTTTAAATGAGGTATGACACTAGTAGGTTGTTCTATTATCTCATGAATCAATTTCATCCCTTCTCCCGAAGGTATTCCCGAAAGACGAGTAGTTAAAGAAGAGAGTAAGATGGATTGTTGTATAGCTGCTGATACTGCTACACCTAATACTTGACCTAGAGCTCGGAAAAGGTATAAAGCTGACATTGCCATTGACATTTCAGCGGGCTGAACGTTAGCGTGATTCACTCTACGAGTACTTTCGCCCTCCATTTGATCTGCAGTAACCTCCCTTCTTGGCCGAAGACGGTCGAGAAGACTTTCAACTGAATATAAAATACGAATCAAGAAATGGGAATGAACGTCAGATATGAAGGCTCAGACTTACATCCACACATGCGACCAAAGATGCTATATTGTTAGTTGCTTATACTGAGAAGGTAGGGTAAGATACGTACTTAATAAACTAGTCATCACCGCTCCTACTCCAGATGCCCCGACAGCCATTTCGATCGATAATCTGATGAAACCAGTGTCGATTCTCCAAAGAAGAACCACTCCTAGAGCTTGTACCCAGGGTAAGAAACTCCTACACTGGTCAGTATGTCTTCCAATGATGTCTACCATTTGTGTACAAGACGAAGGAACATAATGTGGACGGACATAAACGAAGAATAAACTGACATGACAACTTGAAACTTTTTATACTCTGCGAAACGCTTCCATGTCAGTGGCGATCTTTATCATAGATATCTACGAGCATGTGGAATGAAAGGGTTAAGGGAGTATGCTCTTTGACATTGCAGAAAGGGAAAGAGATAATCGTCAAGAACTCACTCGCATATGCCATCCAGCATACAAAGAAGCTAGAGGACCCATGACGGAAGAAGGAAGTAATGCTAAACCCGTTCTCGACCCATCGAAATCTCTCGCTACGTGTAGGTAGACAGGGTACATATAATACTACGGGTCAGCGTGCTTTCCTCTTCAAACGGTATGTTAAAGATCTTGTTCTTGCCCTTCTCATCTCCCTCCTTCAAAGAAGCCGTCTCCTCATGTGATTTCTCCTGTGTCATAGTTGGCAGTGATTGAGAGCATGTAATGACATGCTATGAGTGACAATTGTTCAATGAGAAGACCAAGTATTGGTATCTGATGAGGTGTATCATACTCACTCGGGCA